GATGACAGCAAAGCTCATCCCAAGGTAAGAAGCAGCGGATGACGCTTCAAATGCAAGCATATCTGTTCAATGATTCCGTGACAAATAAGGGCAGAACAACGTATTGCTCCCGCCTGATGCAAGCATGGACCGTCAAATATTGCTTCTTGAATGCAAACATACTGTCACAGTACGCAAGCAAAAGTGCCCGCCATGCAATGTGGCAAGTTCAGGCCAAGACGGCTTCCGCAGATTAGAAATCCTGAGCAATTGCGTTGGATTGGTGTGGTTTGACTGCTTGATCGTTGTCTGACGAAGGCATGCTTCAGCCCTGGCAGAAGATTGCGGCAGATTGTGACCACAAAAACGCCAACACAGAGAGTCAACGAACCTTTTTTCACAGGAACACCAGACGTGGTTGCTTCAGGAGGCCTCCTATACATTGGAGTCAGCGAACCTTTTTTTTCACAGGAACGCCGGAGGTGGTTTCTTCAGGAGGCCTCCTACATTGAACCTCTTGGAGGACTTTGCCCTTCCTCTACGCCGCTGCTTTAGCCTCGCTCTCTGCCGCAGATGAAGCCTCAGCATCCTATTCTGCATGCCAAAATGCGCAGATAGGACGAGGTAGCACCTGCTGCGGTGGTGAAGTTGAAGAGGATGCCTCTGATGCCAAGACAGCTCCCCCGCCTTTTGATTCAGCCTGGCCATCTGCGTCAAGTGGTGCCTTACAACCAGATAAAAATATTTCTTCCAAGACAAAATGCTGAGACGACGGGGTGGTGCAAAGGTGATCATTTTTTCCATCTAGCACGGAACCCATGAAAGCTGTTAAGGTCAGCACACGCTCTGGTGCCTCCCGTGCAGAAGCTGCCCTGCGACGAAGCTTTGGCTGCAAACATGCCTTCACGATGTCTCTCTCGCACTGAGGTCTGGACAGGGCAATGTGCTGGAGGAGGAGAAGCTTCTGCCTGGTTGGAGCATGGAACATCAACAGCATTTTTCTCTTGCGGAATTGAAGGTGGAAATAAGCAAGCAAGAAAAAGTCACAATGCGAAAACGTCAGAGGTTGAGGACACGTCAACTGCCGCAAATTGCAAATGCTGAGCACGTGTTCCGCATCTGTACGTGATAGACCCATTTCTGAAGGCCTCTGCATCTATGTCATATATGCAATGGGTTCAGGGGTGACCCCGTATAAACTGAGCATTTTCCAAGGCACTGTTTGAGGAGGTTTCCTAAGCCTAGAAGCATACGAAGAGGTTTCCGCTGTAACGTGTCCAGGGCAATAAGGCATGGACAGGGTAGCTCGCTGGAGAAGCAGGAGGTGCTGCCTGACGTGAACACGGAACATCAAGACCTTACATCTCTTACACGGCGAAAGCAAATGGAGAATCTAGAGTTTAGAGGCTCCTGTCGAAATGTGCAAGCTAGACTTCAAAACCCGCGAACGTGCTGAGCCCAAGACAGCTGCCTCGCTGGCTGCTTCGGTCTGCCTGGGCCAAACATGGAACATCGAAAGCTCTCTTCTCGTGCGCAGTGGAAGACGGACATGAACACGCAAGATACCGCTACAATGTGCAAGTAAAACTGCATACGCCCATTATGAGAGTTGAGGCCACGCACGTCCTAAAGCAATCACTTGCTTAACTCAGACTATTCAGAGGTATCGTTTTCCAAAGGAAGAATGTTGATCCTGATGAATGGAAAACATGGCCATATTGCTGTAGATAGCTATCACTGGATCAGTCCCTGCCTGTGTCTAACGTGCATACAACGGGAGTAACAAAATCCGTATATGCTCTTCTGAACGCCTCTCTTTAATTCACTGCATCGGAAGGCGAGCACTTAAAGCCTGAGGTCCCAGCATCGGCATTCCATTCGGAAGCATGATGCTGCAAAGAAAAGAGAACGCCGGAGGGAACCGCCGGAAGAGCCACTTTGAGGTCAGCAAACGACATGGAAGCAAGCATATCATATCCAAATACCATTCTTCAGCCGACATGAGACTCTCCCAGTTTCGTGACACACCCTTGCGCCTAAGTCCTTGAAAGTACAATTTTCCTAGAATTCATCTGCACACATCGAAACAGCAAACCGCCAATACTAATCCGCAAACAGTCCAATCCGTATCATCTCCATAAACCGTTTTAATCCGTAATCCGAAAATGTGGGTCATGTCAAAAAACAAGAAAACAGCGAGGGTTCTGCACATTCTGACGGGTGGAAAACACATAGTCCCAAACTGGTCTTTCAGGTGCCCTTTCTTCTCTGCGCTGGTTTTCTAGTCCCCTGCGTTTGCTCAAGTTGTCTTCGCTTGAGACATTTCCCCCAAAAAGTATGTGAGCTCACGCCACTGGCACATCTGCCACTGGCACCAAATCCACTGGCACATCTGCCGGTGGCACCGCTTCCATTGGCATTTCTGCCGCACGCACCTTGGGTGTGCGGGGCGAGTGAGGTTCTGGAGTTTTGGGCGCAGAGTTGGCCTTTACCAATTTGCGCTTCTTAGCCCTTGCCAGCAACTCAGAGCCTTCGGCTGCTGCTTTTTGCTGCTGCTGTTCGTCCTGCAAACTTTTCAAGGTCTGCTCAGGATTGCTCAGAACTTCTCCAAGCTTCACATCTTCAGGCTTGAGCTGCTTGCGCTTGGCGTGCCTTTGGCACAGGACACCGCGGTGAAAGTACACCGTCAACATCTGCTCCAGTGCGAAGCACAAGACCGGGTAGCACCCTTTGGCAAAGCGAATCGACTGGGGCAAGTCAGCGGACTCCACCGTGATACGCACTGCCTTGCCAAAAGCAAACACCAGACCACTGGGAGCAATGCGACCAATTTACCGTCACACACAACAGCGCGAACAGTTTCGGGGAATATACCTCATTGTAGACATGAAAGAAGCTTATCCAGACATGCGAAGGATCTTACAGAATTACTTCCATGCTGGCCGGATGGCTAAACAACAAATCAAACAAAGAGATCGGCTCACGGTCAGTTTGAAAGAATTGGAGGTGGTTTCTCCTTCCATCCCCTAAGTGAATCCAATACACCTCTCGGATGTCCTTGGGCTTGACACCTTCTGCCACACTAAGCGCAAGATCCCGGGCCTCCTCGGCCGAGCGGCGGCGATGGGAAAGCCAACAATTCATTCTGCACCACTCCACATTGCATATCAAAAGCACAGCTTGATTGGTTCACTGGTGATAGAAACACGATATATTCTGGTGGTGGCACACGCTGATGGCACAACTGGTGATTGGAAAACACATCCTTCATATCTCTATAAGTACCTTGGCGTAATCAATAGTGCTGATTATTTCTCTGTTGGTCTAGCATAGAATGATTGGAATGCTTGGATGGGAACACTCCTCAATTGGAAAACTCATGGTTCACCCCATGGTAGTCACTTACAGCCCTGTTTCTTCTTCTGTGGGATGGAAAAGGGCAATTTTACTGGCCCACTGGTGATTGGAAACCAAATGCATTTTGAGTCAAGAATACCTCGGCGTAATCAATACTTCCCATTTATGTTTCCCTCAGGGCTGGTGTCAAATAATTAGACTGCTTCGATGGGACCACTCCTTGGTTGGAAAACATGCCTCACCCCAGCGGACTCGAGGACAGCCTTTTCTTTTCTTTCGGGGAGTGGAATAGGACAATTTGATTGGCTTAGTGGTGATCGGAAAACGGGTGGCTCAAGTCTCCAAAATACTCCAACGTAATCAATACTGCCTCCTATGGAACCCTCCAGGGTCAGAATTCATGCATGTCAGGGGGAGAACACGTGATTGGAAAACACATCCTTCATATCTCTATAAGTACCTTGGCGTAATCAATAGTGCTGATTATTTCTCTGTTGGTCTAGCATAGAATGATTGGAATGCTTGGATGGGAACACTCCTCAATTGGAAAACTCATGGTTCACCCCATGGTAGTCACTTACAGCCCTGTTTCTTCTTCTGTGGGATGGAAAAGGGCAATTTTACTGGCCCACTGGTGATTGGAAACCAAATGCATTTTGAGTCAAGAATACCTCGGCGTAATCAATACTTCCCATTTATGTTTCCCTCAGGGCTGGTGTCAAATAATTAGACTGCTTCGATGGGACCACTCCTTGGTTGGAAAACATGCCTCACCCCAGCGGACTCGAGGACAGCCTTTTTCTTTTCTTTCGGGGAGTGGAATAGGACAATTTGATTGGCTTAGTGGTGATCGGAAAACGGGTGGCTCAAGTCTCCAAAATACTCCAACGTAATCAATACTGCCTCCTATGGAACCCTCCAGGGTCAGAATTCATGCATGTCAGGGGCAGAACACGTGATTGGAAAACACATCCTTCATATCTCTATAAGTACCTTGGCGTAATCAATAGTGCTGATTATTTCTCTGTTGGTCTAGCATAGAATGATTGGAATGCTTGGATGGGAACACTCCTCAATTGGAAAACTCATGGTTCACCCCATGGTAGTCACTTACAGCCCTGTTTCTTCTTCTGTGGGATGGAAAAGGGCAATTTTACTGGCCCACTGGTGATTGGAAACCAAATGCATTTTGAGTCAAGAATACCTCGGCGTAATCAATACTTCCCATTTATGTTTCCCTCGGGGCTGGTGTCAAATAATTAGACTGCTTCGATGGGACCACTCCTTGGTTAGAAAATATGTGCACAGTGGATCCAAGATTCCTTGGATACCAAAGTGTAGAAAGCCTTAGAGCACAGCTTCGGATCCACGACCCAGACCTTTTCCTTCACGTCAAACCTCAAATCAGCTGGAAGAGGCAAATGCAAGATCCCTGGCATGAAATCTCTTGCAGATCATGGAATGACTTGAGCGTCTGCCAATGTTTCTGTGGCTTCAAAAGGATTTTTGGGTCATGAGAACATGCAATGAGATGCTCACGCAGAACAATCACACTGGCCAGCCACGGTCACAGTTCATATGTCTTTTTCCCCCTGCTGCACAGGCTACCTCCTTGGCTATAGCCCCGGACGCTGGTAATCCTCGTATTACCAACATGTAAACATTCATGCTCGGAGGAATGCACACAAGGCTTCTGGGTTGATTTCCTGGTCGCCACCCTCGTTCGGAGCTGGCTCTCCGGAAACCTCAACATTCATGATCTCTCGGTTGGAGCCGGCAGCATTTAGACGCGCCCTTTGCGGCATCGAGCCCTGGGGGCCTACAGGCTTGCTTCCGCATGGGTTTGCCTGCCGTCTCTTTGCAGACCCCCACTCCTCAGCCACACTCTGGAGAAACTCGTCCACGCGGCCATTTCGATCCTTGGAACAAGCAGGCCCTTCTATCCGGATCCTGGCTCTGTGGTCCGTGGTTTCATCGCCGCACTGGCCCTGCGACCTCTCGTGCGCACGCTTCAGAAGGGCTAAGTCTCGCTCCACGTCCGTATTTTGGTAGGAAAGGATGATGCATGCCGCAATGACCCGATAGCAGCAAGGGGTTGTTGACCTGATCTGCAAAAGCAGCGAAGGCCAGAAGCTGTGCCTCAAGTAGGATGGGAAAGTGGCAAGAACACTCCTTGTGATCCCCACAGTGACATGTATCCTGACAGCTGATATTTATTGTGACATGCTATCTGCCATTTGACCTCACATATATTAGGACAATCTATCTGGCATTCTATCTGATGTACATGTTGGTTTTTTTTTATTTCGCCTGTCCTCAGATCGCCATATACCAGCGTGCACATGCTGCATGAGAACGGCAAACATGTGTGTGTGTGTGCGCCAGAAAGACATGAATGAATGCAAAATTTCCAAAACTGAACTGCGTCGAGGTGCGGTGGCAAGGTCTTCTTCTGCGGATGTTGCGCCAAATGCGCGGTTTTCAGGCGTAGGACATGCCGAAACTCTTCAGCAAGCACACCGGCGTCCATGTCAAAGTGCTTCGCCAAGCCATGCATAGCACGATCAAACGGTTGCTCTGGAAGATCTTCGTAGGAAGGGCTCAAGACGTAAAAAAACTTGGCCACACCAGTGTGCGCAAATCGACTTTCCAGATCCTGAAAGATAATCTCTTTGATTTCACGGGCTGCCTCCACGCACTCATCCAAGGTTTGGTAGGTGATGCGCAAAGCGTATTCCCCCTGCCGCCCAAACTTGAATGTACAGGACAAGATGCGCACTCCAAGAGTCTTGACGTGCACACGTTTGCAAAAACTCATGACCTTGCTCTCAGCACCCGCTGCACTGGAATGCGGCTGAAACACCTCTTTCAAGCCACGAGCAAGACCACCGGTACCCGGCTTCATGTAGTCCTCAATCTCTTCTCGGCAAGCATCTAACAATGGATCAACTTGGAGCACCCGGACATCTGACCTCTGCGTACGCAGATTTAATCTGCGCAGGATCAGCAAAAGATCTGCGATGATGGACACAAGCAGCCACGATCGCATTTCCTTGACATCGGCGTTCATTGCCCTGGCCCATGCCCCTTGTTCACCATCCTTGCCCGCGAGCTCGTGCAAGTAGCTGGCAATGCATTCAAAGGAATCAATCAAGACCCGAGCAGGTTGGGCGTGGGAAATGAACCTTTGAGGAGCATATGATAGCTTGTGCGGGCTGGATCCATCCTCTAAGAGTTTGTGCAAAGCGGCCATGTGGCCTTGCGCAGTGGTACTGCTGCTAATGTGGGCGCATAAGCGGCGCACAATGCGCAGTAGAGGAAATGCAGCAGGGTGGTCCTCAATGCGCTTAGCCACCAACTCGCATCTATGCGAGCTACACCACACTGTGAACAAACTCTCTGTCGAGAAGCCGCGCTTGAAGCGCAACAAGCTCTCCGCTAGGTTCCCCCGTGGACCAGCACAAGGGGCAGCTAATGGCTTTCCACCGCGTTGAGTTCCACACACAGTGGCGCCATCGGCGCAAAAGGCGATCAGTCTGGAGCTGAGCTCCTCAGGAGTCAAAGCACTCTGACAGAAAGACTTCAGAGTCTGCTCGCATAAGCCATCGTGACTCTTTTGATGCAGCAGCCTGACTTCCCAATACGCACTTTCCGGCTCCTTGGAACGTCAAAAGTACATGCATGGTCTGTTGTCCGCAACACAAAGAATCCAACAGCAACAGGGAAAAACCAAGGTCGGGAGACTTAATTGTTCAACTGACAAAAGTATTGGGTGGTATAAAATGATAAATGGAAATGATATGAGACATGGAAGTGGCTTGGGCTGGTCCACAGAGTTGCCTATGGTATAGCTGCGATTTCTTCATGTGCAACACCGGAATGATCCGGGCTGCAGAATCAAGAGCAATGGTTTGACATTAAATTGGTGAGCACATATTTAAGTAAGTGCCAAAGTTCCAGCTTCTCTGTTAAGTAGTGGACCCGGAGAACAAAGTAGCTGTTCCCATTCTTGCACGCCTCATCTGCACAGATGGAAAGCACATCGCTGCCCTTCACCTTGGCCACGAGTCGCTCCCAGAGGTTCGTGGCAGCCGCTGTGGTAACCTCTTTGTAGAATCGAGAAGACCAATGGGCTTCTGAAATCTGCGCACCCAAAGAATAGGCAGTCTGGGACATGGTATGAAAATCTTTTTCGGTGAGCCCTAGCCGAAGGCAAGTGTATGCCAAGAAGATAGCGTGGTCTTCGAAAGGACTAAGACTGACCGTCCTGCGCTTCTTCACAGCAGGGGCTTCCTCAGATTCTCCGCCATATTCTTGCCGTAGGCATTGCAAGGCAAGAGAGTGGTCGCCTGCCGGCTGCCTCACGTGCTGGTCTAATAGCTCCTTCGAGTGGTTGTTCTTGTTGCTGATAAGAAGCTGATATCGACCCAAACTTTGTCTCCCTCGCAACTTGTGCCCCTTCTTTTCATACGCCATGCACACCCAACAGCCCAGTAGCTGCTTGCCATTCTCAATCTTGAAACGCAGAAAACCTGAGCCGCCGTTGAATTTGGAAATGCATGGAAAACAGGCAAAGGCTGGATGTCGGAGGAGCTGCTGTCAAGACCATAAACCGGACAGAAACAGCTTGGAAAACGGAAACGTTTGCCAAGAAAAACTACTGATATTGCGAGGAACTATGTTGTACATCTCCAAGATGAAACAGACTGTATCTTCGCATGTCTTTAACCTTCTGGGGGCATACGCAATCTGCACCTGCTCGCGCAGGTTCGCAGACATCGCAGAATGTTGCCTCTGCTTGTCCGGATCCATCAGGGCTGGCTTTCTGCAAGTCTTCCCGGAGTTGGTAGCGTCTGGACCCGCTACTCTGGCTGGGAGGTGAAGACGAAGATGGCGAAGCCACTGGCTTCTGTTTCTCTGGAGTGCACATAGCCTCCGCTTCAGGAACTTCTTCCACCCCCTGCACCCACGACTCACCGGCTTGCACACCGTGCTCTGCAGTGACAGGAGGTGGCTTGGGAAGCTCCAAGCTGGTTTGGGCTGCAACCCTAGCCATCAAGGCAGGGCAGGCTGCCAAGATGCCTGGGTCTTCAAACAAAGTTAAGCGAACTGCTAGAACACCACGACTTCCAGTGTGGAGAATGTTCCGCTTTTTGGCCTCTTGCATCAGGTCGTAAGCAGACATCCTCATGAACTCTGTTGCGTTTGCAGTCATTGCCACAACAAGTCGCCAGACAACCTGCCTAGAGCGGCTGCCAAGCTGCCAAAAGAGTGAAACTCATGCTGGCCAAAATGGCACTTGAACAACAAAAAAATGACCGGCCAAGGATGCAACTCGTCCATTCTCATCACTGCCACATGTTTAACAACACTTCCAATGAAAAATAAAGGCGGTCCCAGGCTGAGGTCTGGGCTTGCACGGCGTAGTGGACATGTGGCACTTGGGGCAGAATTGGAGCGGAGGATGAACCACGTGGTACAGAAGGGCGCAATCCGCACAAACATCTGCTTCCTGAGAGGGCCACCATGTGAATGGGGACGTGCTATCCTGGCTCTGGGGAAAAGCATGCAACTACAGCTTGGAAACATGTCTGCTCGTGATTTCTTTCGTTCGGCAACATGCACACGTATCAGCTAAAACGTGAGGTTTGCATCAAAATGCTTGCAACACAGTCGGTGATACCAACAAATTTCAAATCTGTCACAGGGTTGCCGGTCTGGATGGAATATCGAATCTAGACGCAGACAAGCTGCGATGACATCTGCACCTGCTTCCTTCTTCACCTCAACTTGCTGCGTTGGTCCCGGACGGTCCTCCCCCGGAGCCGCCTGGAACTGCACCTTTGACAAGTAAGTGGGCTCCCAGGTCAAAGTTAAGGACCGTTTCTTGGCCTCCTCTTGGGCCAGCTCTTGCTGTTTGGACAGCACATCTTCCTTCAAAGCCCTCGCCTGCTTCAGGAAAGGTGCCTTCTGGTCTGGCGTCAACTCCTTCCACTGACGGGAAGCTTCCTTTAATTGCTCCTTCGCTTTGCCCTCTTTCAAACCAAGGTCCTTGTAGAAAAGCTGAAAAGCATTTGGTGGACGCTTCAAGTCTGGCTTAGCCGAAGAAGCTGCAGCTGCCTCGCGCAAAGACAAAATAAGGTATATAATTCTCTACTTCGACAGCTGACATCCATATCACGACAAAGAGAAAGCCCGAAAAGGAATCAGGACTCAGAAGTCTATGCGCAGATGTTTGTAAACTAGCCAAGCTCGTGCAATGTCCGAGAACAATGGTGATTGAAGATGGACGGCTTCAAATTCTTGGAAGGCTCCGTTCCAATCAAGACTACCAGCTGTGGTGATTGAAAATGGACTGCTTCAAATGCTTCAAAGACTCCGTTCCAATCAAGACTACCAACAGTGGTGATTGAAAATGGACTGCTTCAAATGCTTCAAGGACTCCGTTCCAATCAAGACTACCAACAGTGGTGATTGAAAATGAACTGCTTCAAATGCTTCAAAGACTCCGTTACAATCAAGACGACCACAAACAGTGGTGATTGAAAATGAACTGCTTCAAACGCTTCAAAGACTCCGTTGCAATCAAGACTACCAACATTGGTGATTGAAAATGGACTGCTTCAAATGCTTCAAAGACTCCGTTCCAATCAAAACTACCAACACTGGTGATTGAAGATGGACTGCTTCAAATGCTTCAAACACTCCGTTCCAATCAAGACTACCAGCAGTGGTGATTGAAAATGGACCGCTTCAAATGCTTCAAAGACTCCGTTCCAATCAAGACTACCAACAGTGGTGATTGAAAATGGACTGCTTCACATGCTTCAAAAACTCCGTTCCAATCAAGACTACCAACACTGGTGATTGAAGATTGACTGCTTCAAATGCTTCAATCACTCCGTTGCAATCAAGACTACCACAAACAGTGGTGATTGAAAATGGACCGCTTCACATGCTTGAACGACTCCGTTCCAATCAAGACTACCAACTAGCGGTGATTGAAAATGGACCGCTTCAAAGTGACAGCGACCAAAAAAGGGGAAAGACACGACAGAGTCAAGAAAGACAAGAAGAGAACAGAAGCACAGCACCAGGTCGGGACGTGGGCCACCTCACCACACGCACCCCTCCCCGGACGGCGGAGCAGCGGCAAAGAAAAGGGAAAAAGACGAAAGAGGGAGGAAAGACGAGAAGAGAACAGAAGCACAGCACCAGGTCGGGACGTGGGCCCACCTCACCACACGCACCCCTCCCCGGACGGCGGGGCAGCGGCAAAGAAAAGGGAAAAAAACGAAAGAAGGAGGAAAGACGACAAGAAAACAGAAGCACAGCACCAGGTCGGGACGTGGGCCACCTCACCACACGCACCCCTCCCCGGACGGCGGAGCAGCGGCAAAGAAAAGGGAAAAAGACGAAAGAGGGAGGAAAGACAAGAAGAAAACAGAAGCACAGCACCAGGTCGGGACGTGGGCCACCTCACCACACGCACCAGCGGAGAAGAAAAGGGAAAGAAACGAAAGAGGGAGGAAAGACGAGAAGAGAACAGAAGCACAGCACCAGGTCGGGACGTGGGCCACCTCACCACACGCACCCCTCCCCGGACGGCGGAGCAGCGGCAAAGAAAAGGGAAAGAGACGAAAGATTGGAGAAAGACGAGAAGAGAAGAGGAGCACAGCACCAGGTCGGCCCACCTCACCACATGCACCCTTCCTTGGACAGCGGAGCACCGGCAAGCAAAACGGAGGGAGGAGAGGATGAGAAAGGGGAAGGGAAAAGGAAGCGGACATAAATGCAATAACTACTATGCCAGCCTATCACGGATCATCGGGAAGCAAGCCATTCTCAAGGGTCAGGCAGTGGTGACTGAAGATGCAACAACCCTTTTTCAAAGATCCGCAGTGCTGATTGGAAATGGACCGCTTCAAATGCTTCAAAGACTCCGTTGCAATCAAGACTACAAACAGTGGTGATTGAAAATGGACTGCTTCAAATGCTTCAAAGACTCCGTTCCAATCAAGACTACTGTCCTATCAACACGCACAAGCTTCCAGGATGACCTTTCAAAAAAATCTGCAGTGGTGATTAGAAACGTGCTCTTTCAAGCACCTGAAGAAGCTAAAACCCAATCAAAAGTAGTGGCCTGTCAGTGCCGATATGCTTCGCATCCAGCGATGAGAAAGCATGTTGTTTCGATGAATTAAGCATTCCCTCCCTCCATAACAAATCGTATCACCGGCCTGCTGAGGTTCCTCTCCATGTGGGGCGGCTTCATTTGGCTGCTGTCCCTGGCCATCGGCTTTCTTCGCAAGCCCAAGCAAGAGCTTTGGCCTTCCACTCGACCTTCTCCTCAGGACTCACCTTCTTCCAAGCTTCGCTGGCAGCCTTCATGGCACCTTTGGCACCACCAAGGTTTTGAAACTGGTCCTTGTTGCTAGCATACCAAGCATAGAACGCCATGACGTCAAACCTACTCTGCGAGTTGCCTGGAGCCGTCACCCTTTCGGCACAAATGCGGAAGTTGCAAGCGAATGCCTGTAATCAACTTGGATGTCACTGATGGTGGACATGTTACCTGATGCTTGTTCTCCAGCTCAAAATGCAAACATCAACAAACAGTACTATACACAAACCGTAAGCCGATAATCCGTAATCCGACATAAGGATTAAGGATTAACTTTGATGTGACCAGTTCATTGGTTGGGACCAAGTTGTGACATATTTAACCAAAATGAGCGGATGTATAAACCTGAAACGGCAGATGCACCACACATATGAAAATTCCGGCACGGGCGCTCATTTTTATGTAGCATCTTTCAAAAGTTTGGCACAAAAAGGTTCAATGCAAAAAGGAAATTGTCAAAGTTTCATGTAACCAAGCATCCTGGGCACTGCGTTTCAACGCCGCATCTGGTGTGATTGCTTGGCATGCGTTTTCCCCCGTGGTGCGTGGTATGTCCCTCTGCTAGTTAATTACTAATTTTTGGTGGTTCCTCCTCCCATCTGCTTTGGGACCGGCCTTGCTTACAACATGATCTTGTTTGTTTCACAATCCATCCGCCCATTTTTTTGGAGGACCCCAACGCAAAAACCAGTTGGGGCCAGGAATGCTGGGCACATCCCAACGCGTGCGTTAAAAAAAATCGCCAAACGCAACCTACCTCTCTACAAATCCATTGCTTGGATTGGGTTAACACGGTTAACAGTTAACATTCCTCAAAATGACATTCAAGCGACGCGTTCTTGTCTGCCAGTTTTTTTTTTTTTAACCCGACCCGTCCCACAACTCTGCGCAACATGCGTCGTTTCCAGCGAATCCATTTTCAACGGGTCTGTTTCGGCCATTGGTGCTGTAGTCCGAACATGCGAACTTGTGGGGACGTATGTTTGTTCAACGGAATGCACGCATGCTTGTGACATTTTTTCTACCAAATTTTCGTTCGTATGACGAAGTTCCACGTTCCCACGGTTGCGCAAATTGCCATGCAGGATCTTTCCAAGGTATCCGTGAGCATCATCATCATCATCATCATCATCATCATCATCATCATCATCGTCATCGTCATCGTCATCGTCATCGTCATCACCAAGTAACACTTCCAAGGGTACATCGTCCACTTGAAGTAGGGTGAAATTTTGCAGTACGAATGTCGTCGTTTTTGAATTAATGGAAGTGTTTGAGCCAAGTCCGAAGCATGCGATTTATTCAATCAAATCCATCATTCCAGTTACCCTTATTCGGACGACGCGCAAATAAAATCAAGTCATCCTCATATCGAATGATTATTGACATTTCCAACCTGGCAACATCAAAACCATGTGCTTGCAATCGTCGCCTCCACATTCGCATGGCAAACACCAAACCACAGTTGGATCAAATATTTTTTTCCCCTCACTCTACGTCGGATAGGACAGTCCAGGCACCCTTGATGTATCCAGTCCGTTCGCGCTAAGAGCCTGCAACCAATTCAAACATGCATCTAATACACCCATGTGCAGACATTGCATTTGAACAAAGCCGCGAACTCGATCCTGTAGAACACCTCCTACTTCAAGTTTGCCAACCACACGTCCAATTCCATTCCATGGCCTTGTTGATGACAGTTCCCACGGTGACAAAAGCGTCATCAACACCAGAATTCGTTAAAACCCTGTTTGGTCATGCGGCTGTGGCAGATGCATGTGGTTTCCCGATCGCAAAATATATATAAATTT